TAAAAGTTTACAGGCTTTTTTCACTCCCTTAATCCCGAGGCTTGGGGATTTCTGTTCATTACTTTATATACAATATAATAAAAATACACGTTTTATTAATATTATTTAGATTTTATATATAAATGCTCGTATCATATTTATATCGAGTAAATTTTGACAGCACCAGGAGATCTCTGAGCTTGCCTGTGCTAAAGAAGCTTTGTGGTTCGGACGAATCGAAGTGGACGGTGCTGCAGAACATGCGAAGCCAAATGGCCAGACGCCAAGAGGTGGCGTCTGTGCGGGTTGCTGCAGCGTGTTCAGGGATCGGTCGGCCGAGAGTCGCCTCTTTCCCTGTTCTCCTCGTTGCCGTTGGCAGTCCTCGAGCCAGTCCGCATCGGCCGAGGTTCTCAAGTCAGACGAGGCTCTGTGCATCCCGTTCGAGGGGTTGACCTCTTGCAAGTGTGCCGGCCAGGTTGGTCCGCCAGCACCGATTTGTCGGTCACTCCTCTTCGCATGACTGACTTTCTCCTCTACCGGCGAGTTCATGTCGCCTTCTCGATGCTCCACAGCCGGACCGTCGTATTGGGCCAACCAATTTTTCTTCGGTTTGAACGGATTCACAGCCCCACCGTAACCGCCTGCTCGAGCATCACTTTCTCTGCAATGTCTGCTTCTGACAATATTGGCAGGGAATCCACTCACGAAGTCTTCTACAGAGGCACTCGGCGAATGGAGTAGGTCGTTGGCGGAAGTCTTTCCAACGGCTTCATGAACTCGACCTGCTGAAGGTCTACAGTCCGAACTCACCTTTTTGCCGGTCGTGCCGAACGTGGTCATCGGCCGGTCGGAAATGTCGTCAAGACGACTGGTACTCTCAACTACGGAGCCTGATGATGTCGCCTTGCCAGCGTCCTCTCGGCAGAATCCCGTGTCCAGCTCGCTTTTTGGTTGAGGCGTCTTGATTAAAAACAAGAATACAGAATATATAGAATATAGATTTTATATATTAATGCTCATAGCATATTTGTATCGAGTAACTTTTGATAGCTGTATCTGCTTCATTAGTCTCTTTGACGAGTTGTAGTGTGGTGCTAAGAATTGTAAGACTAACTGACAATGCCGGCGAAACTTCTGGGAATGTATCAAGTTCACGGTCCGAATCTGGAAATTGTCATGCATACTATGGACATTGAACAAGTTGCATTCTTCTAGATCTTCCTGCCAATATGATCAAATTGGGAAAACAAGGTGAAACAAATTCTTGTTAGTGTGAAGTCAGGTTACGAAATGACCTGTCCTAATCTTTCATTCTAGGGTCATTAAAGTTTAACCACACAATGAGAGACATGATTAGGGCTGCATATTCTCGCACGTCTGGTTTGGTTGATGAGTTAAATCTAAGATGTTGTGTAAAATTAAGGCTTGGATGATACCATGCTCGGATAATTTTCGTCATAAGAAAGACTAAAGCTTAGAATGTTTTCACCGAAATCGATGGAGATTACCTCGGAAACAACGTCAGTAAAGCCAATCGACAGGTGGTCAAGCGAAATCCACAATATTTTTATGGTAAGATCGACCTTAGAGTTTATTCACCGAACACCTTCTCTCGAAATGGAAGTAAGCTCAACAAAATTAACACCATCACTAAGTGGGCAAGTTGGTTGTCGGCTTCTTTTGGTTGTCGGCTCAACACCCTCTCTCTCCTTCAATCACTCAATCATGTTTATCATATTCAATATATTCTATAATCTATTAATTTCAATCGTTTCTCTTATCATACTTTTAACAGCAGACGTACCATAATAAACGAACTTGCTCGTTTTGGAATATTCTATCTCATGTCCTGTCTCTGCTGTTTATTCTGCCACTTCTGGCCGTTGTGCTCAGCTTCCTTTACAAGCATTTTTGTGTTGCCCTAATCTTTCCTAAATGGGCCTGCATGTCTCACCAACAAGGCCGAACACAAGATGACACAATCGTGTAGCATCCGGATCGCGATAATGGATCACATTTCCCTCTAAAATATGGCATAATCTTTAAACCCTTTCGTATGTAACTAGAGTTTCGAGACTACCAGTAAATCAGTTATATGAGATGTATTCGCCCTATTTCGTTTAAGGTGATGAACGAATGCTAGTAGAATTTTTTTAATAGCGATATGAGTAGAGCTGAAGTTTCCATTGGATTCAAGATTGCCTTGCTTACCCAAAAGTTGTTCTCATCCAGGATGGACTGCAGGGTGGACTCTGGATGAGAACGACTTTTGGGAAAGCAAGGCAATCTTAAATTGAATGGAAACGTCAACTCTACTCATATCATTATGGGAAAATTCTACTACCATTCCTTCATCACCTTAAACGAAATAGGGTAAATACATCTCATATTACCATTTTTATCCCTCACTTTCTCATTAATTCGCCAATCTTTTTAGAAAGAAGGCATGACAGCAAAATTAGGACATAAGAAAAGGTTTCAGCTTGTCTATCTTTGATCAAAAGTCTCCGTGTGAAAATTTATTCCTCAGTAAGGAGATATTATTTTTAATTAGGCTCAAAAGATAATTACTTGCCAGAAATAATTTTGTAGGCCGTTCAAACTCTATAGTCAAATGGTTGCTATACGCTAGCCTAAACCTCCTAATAAGCAGTGACTTCACACTTTCTTCGGTTATGTCATCCTTTAGAGAGAAATATGACCAATTATCGAGATCCAACTGCTACGAAATTTGGTGCTCCTGTGGTCGACCTCATATTGATGAGACTAAGATTGGGGGAACACCGAAATGCTTGTGAAGGAAGCTGGGTCCAACGGTCTGAACTGGCCGAAGACACAAACCAGAGACTAAACATGAGATAGGATGGTCTCAAATAGGTAAGTTTGCTGATTATGGTACATCTGCTGTTGAAAGGAAGATAAGAGAGGCTGTTGAAATTAATAAAATACGGAATATATTGAATATGATAAATAGTGGTAGGAAGTTGAATAAGAACTACTTATACCTGATTGATAGATATAAAGAGACGAAGCTTGTTGAGCCACCAATAAAAAGAAGACAACTTAAATTGTCTGCTCGGTGATGGTTCCAATTTTACTCTCACTCGTCCAACATGTTAATTTACGCTCATCAACCAAACCAGACGTACAATATTACGCAGCCCAATCATGCCTCTCCTTGGATAGTTAAATTTTAATGACTCTAAACTGAGAAGTTAGGACAAGTGGTTTCTTAACCTTATTTACAAGCTTACATCTCATTATCTCAGCCATACTTACTTACACACTTACGCAATCTTGATCAGGGCTTTCTTTAGTTTATTAAGGCTTGACGACCAGAGCCTGAAATTAGCCTTTTTGACCACTCTGATTTAGAACCGGTATTGCGTATAGACGTTAGCATGCACACACACACACACATACACACTTGAGCAAAAGTAGCAAGACCAATTCGACATATAGTTAACTAAAACATACAATATCTTTCTAGATCTTTTAATTTTTGTTTGCCTACTTAAGTGTATACAAGAGGTGAGATAGAGCCCGATCATCTTCTTGACGTAGTGTTAACGTGAAACTTTTACAGGAATGATTTCCATCTCTGATGATATTCATCATAGGATAGACAAACGCTCAGCCCATTTTCACATAAAACGAGGTAGGATGCCTCGCTGCAGTACACCGCGAATAAGCCTTCCTCTTCCGTTGAGATCGACCTTGGAATCTCTTCTTCGTGCACTTTCACACGAAATTATAAGCCCCTTTACAATGTTATTGCAGGAAAACATATAAAGACCAAGTTGTTGTGGCCTCTGGTATGGTTCGTAGCTTGGAGCGGAGAATGGCAAAACTCACTGATGATGTCGACTAGGATGCCGACGAAACGTTTTGAGAATGTACCAATTTCACTGTCAGATGTTGCGAATCGTGACAACTACTATGGCAGACGACTTCGGACTAGGTGCGTTCTACTAAGTTTCCATGACAACAAGACCAAGTTGCGACAAGGAAGTCAACCAACTTCTTATCTCAGGAGATTCATCAGAACCCAGTTACTCTTCGTATCTATAGTATGTACTCTTTCAGGAGACCTTTGAGTTGACCATTCAGAGTTTCCGTAGATATCTGAGGTATAATTTTGTAAACTACAAAATATTATAATGCTTGCGGCCTTTTTGCTACATAACTAACCATAGCCACAACTAAGCATGATCCTACTTTGTTAGTCCTAAAAACTATATGCTAATTTCCTCTAATCTTCCGTATAATGTTAATAACCTTTCAATTTTTGTTTAGTACTTCTACCTGATTGTCATTTAGAGAAACAGCCTGTAGCTCAATACCATTTATAGACTTCTCTGGGTGAAGATTGGTGAAAATTGTGTGTTCTACCATTATTTCCTCAGAATAGGTCCTACTATTTAGCAATTCCGAGTTTAAGCCCTTTGGTAGAACCTCTTAATTGGTGATGTATAATGGTGTTTTAGACAGATTTAACACTTTTTTATTGAATATATGAAGACCAAGATGTTGTA